CGCCTTTCGGATTGCGGAACAGTGATCTTGATGCAGCATCGCGTGTGAAGTGTGAGGGACTGTTTTTAGCAACGCCCTTAGCTGCAAAGACCTACCATGTTTCTTGAAACGATTGATACTGTCGTAACCAGCGACTCCGCATCTCCCCTCCTCATGTACTCTAGACTTTTCTATCCATAAGGCATACAGTACAGTACTATTTCTCATCCGATGGCCAAACTCTGTTCATTGGGTTTTATAATTATAGGCAGAGTATCTTGATTTGCACCTGCTTAAAAATCGAAGGAATCGTTAGTCTTGAATCCCTGAATCGGTCGTCTCATGTTCGTCATTCGTCAGTACTACTTTGTAAATCCGTTTCTTTCCAGGTGACGTTTACGACTCTGCTGTGAACCTTAGCTATAATCCTAATTGGAATTTAAATTACTCTGCAGTTCATCATTTTTTTCATCTTAGCCGAATTATCATTTCTTCAGCAAAATGGACTGGCTACTTTTGGTTTAAATATATTTTGTTAGACAGATGATCACCGAGAGATAAGAGGTTTCATGCATGGTAAATTTTAACTCCCGACGACAGTAAAATTTAATGTAGAATAGTATCCTAATTCTGTGATTTGAGGCACAAGTCAATCGAGGACTTTATTAATACGCAATACTACCGTTAGTGTCACAGATTGATGAACGGGGTTTATACTTCCGAAAGGTATTTTTTCTAGTAAAGTTAAGTTTCAGGACTCAGTTCATCTCATCACCTGTTGAATTAAAAGATCTAGTTTTTTCTTATCATTTGGCGCTGATTCAGCATGAGGTATGAATGTAATAAAATGTATTTCTGCTTTTTTTCACATTTATATTTAGTTTATACAACCAATTTAGTAATTTAAATGATTTTCATTGGCTTTCGTTAATCACAATTTTTTAAGTTAATTACTTTCAGGAAAAGGCAAGGTTAGAGGAAGAAAAACAGGATCTCGAAAAGGCAAGTGCAGAGTTCTGCATTTTGCGAGAGCAGAAGCTGAAGTCGATCGAGTAAGTACAAATTTCGACCTGAACATCGACCTATGTTCAGTTAAATGAGTGATCTTCATTCGTATAGAAGAGAAAAAGCATTCGTTCGGCGCCAGACAAACGTTCTTAAAAGCCGGGAAAGCGATTTGGTTTCATTGTTACGACAACAGGTTGGTGGTTGTTGCTTTTTATTAAATTTTGATTGACATGTATCGCTGTAAACTGCAGTTTGAAAATTTAAGTTAAGGATTTTTGGATACGAAGCCACCAGTTTTTCACACAAACGCTATTAAGCTTTTATTTGTATAATACATAATTGAATAAGGTACATAATTTCTTTATCCGGGAGATGATGTAAAGTTTTGGTAAGTCATAAATGGGAAGACACTGTTTAAAATGTTCTTTAATGAAGGCCATCTGACGTTTCGGATAGAGTTTGGTCCATCTTCTGAGTACAGTGAGAAAGGTACGTACGAGTCTGGTTGACCCGCATGATTAATGGTTTCTGGTCGTAAGCGACTACTTGATGTTTGCCTTAAATTTTTCTCTGACGTCTCTTCCTAGGTCACGATTGATGCAATGAGTTGCACTGATCAGTGATACTTCCTTGACTTTGCGGGAAACATGAAAAGAGGACTATCCTATGAAGACTTTTAGCGAACTTTTGGCAAGCTGTTCAAAAAAGGGGCCTCTCCCCGCTCACCTGATAACAAAGCCTGCATTACTTTGCCATGCGTTCGCCAAATGAGTGAAAACCTGCGACGTATTGGATCTGCGTCCGGATTCAGTCTGATATTCAACTCTGCTGCAACTATATACGTAGCCGACTAAGCCACCTTAAAACCCAGAAACTTAAGGAGCAGAAAACCGGTTGGATGTACTAACTCCCTTCTACCTCTGTCTCGGTTTACGTAGGCTAAACGGGTAACACGGTTGAAGAAAGGAAGACAAACCACATGAGGAATATCATCAGATGGAAGAAAGCTGATGCTAGAGAAAGGGTCAACAGCAAGTCGGCGGAGATCAGAGACAAACGAAAAACCCTGGACTTGTAAAGCAGAATGCGAGAATGCAAGTCGCTTTCCTTCTATTGAAGTTTCTTTCTTGACGAAAATGAGTGTTGCAAAACGGATAACTGGATGTCCTTCATGCTATATCTTTTTCGCTGAGGCCATTTGCTGTTTCGCCGAGAGGTAGTGATAAAATTAAAATTAAAGTTTAACATCAGTTTTCAGTGTTATTTCTATTGCCCTTGAATGAATAGTAAAATATTGAAGATCCATAAAATGTATTTTCGGTCATAAGCCGAATTAAATTCGACTTGTTTCTGATTTTCTTATGCCCTGTAATTTTGCTTGACAAGATGTACTAATTTTGGGCCCTTCCCGCCTATGTTAAGTTTGCAATGAATCTTATGTTTTTTCTCAGATTGCCGACTTGCAAGGTGAAGTCTGTGACAAGGAGGCGAAACTGAGTGTTTTCCGGAGTAAGACGCGGCTACTCGAATCTGATCTACGCCAGTCGAAGGACGAGTGCGCCGCTCTCAAGCTTAAGTTTCGCGGTCTTGAGGAGTCGACGACAAGACTGGAACAGGAAAATTCACAGCTACGGGTAAAACTTGGAAAGACACTGTCGCGTAAGCCTCAGGCGTCGTCGTCAGATTTGGCCACGAAACAGCCGTCTAAGACAGCAGCGGCGCTAAAGTCGGCTCAGAGACGCGGCGACGACAGCACAGAGAGGAGTGGTGAAAAGTGCGTTCGGTTTCTGGTTCCAGAAGAGGATCCGGTGTTTACTGAAACCAAAGATCGAGCAGTGCAGGCAGACCGTTTGTCTCAAAACGTTACAACACCAGAAAATAGGGTGTTGAGTCCAGTTTTCGTCAACGAACCGATCCAGCCCGTTTCTTTGCCTTTGGCGCTCGCGGACCCGACCGCTCAGTTTAGCAAGGTACAGTACGCTGGTGTTACTTTGTACTCAGTGTAAGCTACCCATTTTTTAAAGCGATGTATATCCGTAGCATAGCACGGAAGTTCTAGCACGTGCAGTGCAAGGGTACAAGGCAGCACCGATTGTCGGATCGAAAAAACATGGTCGAATGCCAACAGATATACCTCAGTTGGTTCACATAATCATCATGAGCTTACTTCGATCCACCTCTGAATGAAGGCCTCTTTAAGATTTTGCCATAAACTGTCTGCACCGTTTGTATCCTTCTTAATCTACCGAGCTTCTTCAGCTCATCCTGTGGTCGATCTGGAGTTCTTCCTAAGCGTCGCTTACCCTCACTTCGAACCGACTCTAATGTCTCCTTGGTAAAACGATGGTCTGTTTTTCTTGCAACTTCCAAGTGTCCAGTCCATTGCACTGACTCACTGACATCGCAGACTTGTTTCTGGTATTATCCATTCATTCGTCTTCCTGTCTTTTCTTGTTATTTCCAACGTACAGATTTTTATTCTGTGTTGCGTACTCTGAAGTTTATGAATAACTTTCAGACTTAGGGCCACATTTACTCCCTTAGTTAGCACTGTGAGAGTATACAGTGATCAAATAACCAGTTTCTCCAATAGCAACATTTAAATCTTGTGAAAGTACCCTATGCCATTTTTATTCTCCTGTTGATTTCACACAGTCGATTTTCTGTTATTGTAATGAGCTGTTTCATATTGACGTAATTTTGCACCTCTTCGTGTCTAAGCCCATTATCTTCAACAGGTTGCGATGTAGCATATTTGTCAGACATGACCAGAGGGTTCTTGGAGGTTACTTCAGTCGTGCTTGGATGCTGGCGTCGTTCCGCTTATGAACTCTTCTTCTTAACGATGATCATAGTATCGTTTACAAACCTCAGGTGGTTTTAATAGTGCATATTCAGCCTTAAACTGTGGTTGAGAAATTGGTTCCTAAAGTTTACTTTCCGGTATAAGCAAAAAGAGCGTTAACGAGAATTGAATGAAATTTAAATTCATTTAATCGCTCTCATGTTCCCTGTTTTTTTTCAGACATGGAGGCAGCTGCTGCAAACGCCTTTAAGCTAATTGTCCTGGTCCTTCCCCAATTGCGTATGTTACTTGAATTGGATTACAAAGCGAGATCATACCATGTCCCTTTTGCTATCGAGCTCTGTTCAACGGTTTGCCGTTGGGCCGTCTTCCTTGTGGCTTTGCTGTGACAGCTATTCGCACGTTTTTTTCTGCAGTATTCTGCGTACCTTCGACTGACACATTCTGTCACAATCCTTATCCAGCCCTGCAAAGCATGCAAAAATCTTATATGTTCCTAGAATTTTTCACAAATGGAGACGGAAAGTGAAGACCTAATCCACCGTGCTCCGACTGCGACGGAAGTATCGCTCGTCGTCCCAGCCCTTGTTAAAGGAGGGGGAGCGGTGTGCTCTTCGGTTTCTCATTTCCGAGCACTTGGTGTACTCTTTAGAGGGTTGATTGAGCACAGAGGTGCCTCATTAGTTGCTGTAGCCTCTCTGACCTCATCCCGTTCGACATCCTTAGATTATTTATTCTTCATGGTTTTCTCAGAAAGGTCAAATATCATTTAACACATCCGTAGGCTGCAAATATCAGAGGCGTTTTCAGATGTATTTTTGAGCTGCAAAATATGCAGGGAGTCTGATAAGTAGTGCTAATATGTGCAGCGAATGAGCCGTTAGCGAGCTTGGTTAAAAAATACCGTACCGAAAGTGTGGCGACCTGGCTAATGCACGTCGCTATCAAGTAAGCTTGCTGCCACACTCAGCTAATTCCGCAGTGTTGGCAAAAAATTGAGAACCACTTTAATTCTATTTTTTGTACATGTTATGTGACTGTCGTCCAGCATCCCACTGTGACAACTATATTTGTTTGTTTTAGTTTAATTGATTTTTCGTAAATAAGTATTTTTCCTTTGTCGAGTGAAAAGCAGGATTCTTTCTTCTTCACATTCGAGTAGTAAACTTTCACACTCGTGTAAGATAATTCTCATTGCGAAAATGAATTTTGTCAAATTTGGAAGTGTGATTGAAGCCTTCTATTCTTAATTTGATATTATTTGAATCTACAGGTTTTTTGAGCACCTTCTTGGCATGGGTTTGGTAAAATTTTATTTAATGTAATTAATGTTTCTGTTTATTAGTTGTGTAAAGATTCCCAGTTGTTCCATTTGCATAAAAGTAGTGTTTCCTTTGAGTGTTTGAGCTTTTTTTGGCGAATTCATTGTTTGTGGTTGTTCATTAGTTCATTCTGAATGTCGACCCTTATGAATGATTACCAAATTCTTTCAGCCGTTTATCCAGTGCAATGGACTTTAGAGAAGTGGGTTGGAACAAATTTGTGAGTTTTTGGTTTCGCCATATTATTAATGGCAAGTGGCTGGGAAACACCATCGCCTTAACTCACTGTAGCTGGTTCCTGCACCATTTGCAAGGCGTCACGTAGCAGGAGCGTGAATTAAAGTGTTTCACATTATGTACTCATTGGATCCTCCAGAAACATCGATGTAATCGCGCGCAACTGATGTTCTGTTTACCGAAGACAATCGCTGAGCAAACTTTCTTTATCTTTTGGGCACTGTGCCTTATGGCAATTCATTATTCTCGACGATGTTGACCCAAGTCACTTTCTTCTCAGCTGTACATATCCACATTGTACGAAGTTGTTTTTTTTTTCAGAACTTTGAAAGGGTCAGGCCTGACGGCTCGACGGAATCGATATACAAAAATGGCACTGTTCAGGAGATCAGCGCCAACGGCCAAGTGGTCACCTATCATTACGCCAACGGTGACACTCGGCGTTTTCTAGCAGATGGTTCAGAGGTGCGTCGTAGATGGATTCTGACTTTGACATGACCGGTCACATTTTTCAGGTGTATTATTTTGGCGCGAAGGAACTGACGCAGACCAAATACCCGTCTGGAGTTATCGTGGTCAAATACAAAGACGGTAGGGAGGAAACTCACTATCCCGACAGTAAGGTTGATGTTCGCTCGCCGGACGGCTTGCACATCTCGCTTACTCCGGATGGGCGGCGAACAGAGCTGTATCCGGACGGAACCCTGGTGGAAAAGACTCCCGATGGAGTGGAGGTATGCCGTTTTCCTGACGGAAGCAAGGAAACGCGTCATCACGACTTTCTGGT